ATTGTTCAAAACCACAAATTCTTTTGTCTACTTTAAACCTTTCTGATAGTTGTACATAAGAAGTCAAGTGATTTTCTACTCCTAATGACCATATCGATTTTCTCCATGACAATCTATCCCTAACTTGTTCTTTTAGGACTCCCAAGGTTGCACTCATCACCACTGTAACTGAGTCCATCAACTTTTCTGCTGGTTGTCCTCTGCTTTTTCATTCCACCACTCCCATCATTAGAGCCTTCTCTAGAGAGCTACAGGTCTTCTTATAATGTGTCCAAAGTAGGATAATTTGAGCCCAGTAATTTGTGCCTCGAGTGAGAACTCTGCATTGATTTGTTTGATAATCCATTGGTTGTTTTCTTGGCTGTCCATGATCTGAGAATATCCAACACCAAAGTTTAGAGGTGTCAATACTCTTCCTATCTGGCATCTTCAAAGTCCAACTTTCACTTCCATCGAGTGTCACAGGGAATACCATGGCTTGCACAATGTTTCAGTATACTCCTTCCATCTTTGATCTCCTTTGAATCGATTATTATCTGTCCATTGGTGTACTTTAGCATATCAATTTGAGGTTGGAACCTTCTGAGTTCAGAGATCTTTTGAAAGACTTTCCTTGTGTTTCTATGTCTGTTTCCATTTTCAGTGTATTTACAGATGTTGTAATATTGCTTCTTGTCTATTTTAACAGCTCTCTGAAACTCTTTGTTAAGTTCCTTTCTGAGATTTTTGCCTTTTTTGGCTTTGGCTTTGGCTTTGGCTTTGGCTTCTCTTCTTTTCTTGGCAATTTCCATGGTTTGTTCTGACATCCAGTTTGCTTTCTTTCTTCATTGTTAGCAGTCTCTTTTCACATTTATCCTTACCAACTTTCATTCCATAATTCTTTTGGTTCTTTGAGATTCAGGACTTCAATGAGGTTCAGGACTTCAAAGCAATTCCTGACATTCACCTTGAAAATGGTGAGTATATCTTCAAGATCATATCATGGATACTGACTGGCTTTCTTCTTCTTTAGTTTAACTTGGAGCTTGCACATGAGCAGTTCATAATCTGTTCCACAGTCAGCACCTGGCCATGTCTTTGATGCTATAATTGAGCTCCTCCACCTCCTTTTAGCAATAATATACTTAGTTTGATTTCTATATAGTCCATCTGTTGATGTCTACATATAGAGGTGTCATTTTGGTTGTTTGAAGACAGTGTTATCTATGAAGAAATCATTGGAATGGCAGAAATGGATAAGTTGGTTTCCTGCTTATTTCACTCTCCTAAGCTATACAATCCAACTACATTTTCCTCTTTCATGTTTCCCACTTTGGCATTCTTGTCTCCAATCACAAGCAGCATATCTTGCTTGCATGTTCTGTCAATTTCAAATTGAACTTGATCATAAAAGTCATCAACCTCCTCCTCTTCGGCATTGATGGTTGGCACATAAACCTGAATGATTGTCATATTAAAGGGTTATTATTTAAAGCAACACTGTTTCTTCTTTGTTTTTCATGTCCTGAGCAATAAATTATGTGATCTTCTGACTGAAAGTGTCTGATCCCAGTCCATCTCAATTTGCTGATGCTTAAGGTGTCAATTTGTAGTAATTTCATTTCATCTTTCGCTGTGATGAACTTTCCTATCTTCATGCTGCTTATGTTCCATGTTTCTACTGTAATACTATCTCTACAGCTTTGGATTTTCTTTTCCTGCATGGCAACATTAGCAACTAGATGTCCCAAAGGCTTTAATCTAGCCACATCATGAACATCATTAGTACTCCAAAAGATCCTCAGCTCTTCCTCAGTAGCACGTGGAGTGCCATCCAACCTGAGGGGCCCATCATTCGGCACTATATTGTCAATCATTTTATATTTTATATCCACGTGGTTTTCTTGGTATAAATACAGGAGTGGTTTACTGTTGCCTTCTCCCTAACAGTATGAACTGATGCCTTTGCTATTGTCACTGAAATGATCATCTGCCTCCTTCATCTTCCTATATTGCTGCTGCCCAATATAGGTGCCTGGTTGCCTTAGCTGGGCAGCTGGGATGACCTTCATGTCTTGGGTGACCTGCTGGGAACATTCTTTGCATTATACTCCCAGTGTTCTTTGCTCATCCCTCCCAGGAACACCCACTCCCACAATGAGGCAGCACAGCAGGATTTGTGGGGTGGGGGGATGGTTATAATGCAAAATGTATATATGCTTTATTAATTCGGGGTGGTATTTAGAATATGATTTTTTTTTTCTGTTTGACTGTAATTAAAGTCATCTTCAGATCTGGCTAGATTTACAGAAAAGCCATTAGTAAGTAGATAGTGTACTGATTTTTCTTCTGATCCATCTGACTCCTTGCCCCATCCAACAGTGTTCAGAAAGAACCCTAAACACCATAGAGAGGTTTTTTGGAGCTCTACATTTGTCTGCATGGGGAGATGAAATTTAAAACTGCATAATTTTAAAGAGGATATCTGCTGGATGGTGGAACAGAGCAAGGAACTAAAGATCAGCGTAGAACAGAATTAGATTCTTTGGATCTGAATTTCTTTAGCTTAAAAAAATTTCAAAAAAGAAGAGAAAAGAGAAAAAAGACATGAGACTAATTAACCCAGGGTACGTTATATAGTTTATATAAACTATAATATTAAAGATTTAGCCTAGCATGAACATCCTATACATGTTTATTTATGATCTGTGAAACTGAAGAAAACAATTTAATAGGAACTAGATTATTATTCAGTTGAACAATAAAAATGTCAAATGTTTTTCAGTTCAACATTTTTTTTTCTTGTAACATCTTAATATATGTTATGATTACAGTAGTTGTACTGTGCAGTAGCTTCAGCAAGTGGCAGAATTTGGCTAACCTAGAATAAGCTTAGAAGCTAAATAGGTTTGGGTCTATTTGTTAATGGAGAGACTAATAGAGAATACTAGGGCCATTGCATTGACTGGGAGGAAGGTAAAATGGCAAGCCAGTTCTGTATTGTTGCTAAGAATATTGCATAAACCTGTTTATGAAATCACCAGGATTCAAGCTTGAGTTGAAGAGACTTTACTTTTTAATTAATATTTTAAAAGATATATTTCTGAATATTTTTAAAAATTATTTCAAGTAAGCGTGATAATAAAATGGTTAAAATAAATACATGATAAAATAGTTATTCATAGCATTCACTACAGTATACTGTTCCAACTTTCTTCTAGTTACAAATGCCTGTTCCCACAAATTTATGGCTTGGCTCCTAGTTAACTCAACAGGGTATCTTTAAAAGGATATTCCCACATTTATTAGTGATCTCCTTTCCTCCCGAACACTTCAGATTTGCTGTAAAGAATTGGAAACTAATTAGGCTGCAGACTGAGTAAAAATAAGTGAAAATTGTCTATTTCTTTTCTTTTTCTAGCATTATGCTTGGACTGAATTAAAGGTCCATTTGTGGATAGCCAGTACTTCTTCATTTTGGAGAAAAGAACTCAAGATCCAGACATATTTTTATTATTAATTATGTCACAGTCTTAATTTTCATCTAATATCTTTAGGTTTCTGCCTTATTTACCAAATATAAGATACTTGTATCTTTTGCAGCCTAATTGAAGTGTGTCACATATAGATGTCCTTTGCAGACTTGATCACTATAACCATGTGTGCTCTTTGCTTATTAGAATCTTTCTATAATTTAGAAATGATCTATCTATCTGTCTGTCTGTCTGTCTGTAAAATTTAACTGAATATTTGACATGAGCTAGACCAAAATACATCACTCTGCTCATGGAAGAAGACTGTCTACACATGGAATGGTACATTTAGATCTGGCCCAGTAGTTAAGCATAATCCAGTGATTGGTTTTTTAACATTTTTTAAACTATTCTCAGTTTTTTTTAAGTCTAAATTGTACACAGAGAACTGCCTGAACGATATTCCTTATTCATGTTTTCATCACCATTAGATGCATGCACATATTTATGAAACAGTGTAGGATCTTGGTGAGAGCTTACCTATGACTATATTCAGATTGTATTTTGGTTTTTTTTGTTGGAACACATAAGCAGAGTAGTAGACTACTTCATAACAAGAAGAATGTTAAAGTAGACCTACTTATGGTAAGAAGCATTGGTGTAATTATATGAAGTACTTCATCAGTACATCATACTAAGAGAATCTTCATATACTATATATACAGTGACACCAAGATTCCTTTATTGTCCTTTGCTTTATCAAATAATATGCAATTCAGAGGAATTCAAAGCTGTGGTGAACTGTGTATGATCCAATTCTGACAGGAATTTTACAAATTTGTAAGCCACCCAAATTTATTGGGAGTTGGGCAACCTATGAATCGTATAAGTAAAATAATATTCCCCTAGTTTCAACTCAATTAGAGCAAATATAAGTTTACCAATGGAACATCTTTAATTTATATGTAAGTTATAAATATCAAAATACCTATTTGTTTTTTGAAATTGTTCTTCATGAGTTACTTATTTTATTTGTATTAGTTTTTGTCACAGGAAGTTATAGAAAAATGTATGTACCACCTGATTTAATTCTGAATGCAACACTTAGAACCAGAACTATTTCCCCATTGATTTTAAAATAGGTCTCTCAACTCCCCCCCCCCATATTTCTTAGAACATCTGTAAACTCAGCCTAAAATGCCATTGCCATTTTCATTAGACTTAAGTTAACTTCTATTATGAATATTTCTGTGTGTATATATATGTTAATTTGTTTTGTGTTGGTGTGTGTATAAACTCATTGTTAGCATAAGTTGCCTTTATAAGTAAGAGCATTAACATTAAGAAAAATATGATCATTTTGAGTAGTCACTTAGGAATTCATTATTAAAGGTTTGCAGCATACCAGATGCTACAACTGGGGAAATTCTCAGCCTTTAACAAGTCTCTTCATTCTAAACTTAAACATAATCAAAATCTTTTCATGAATAGTTCCAAAGTGCCAAGGACCCACTGATCCAGTGGACACTGGTATTTTATATTTTTCAGGAGCACATTGGAGCTGACGCGATCCTGCCAACTACTACGTTTTCTGGGACGTTGAAAGAACTGTCAACCCTACATAAAAAAAAAAAAGTTTTTATTTTTTAATTATTAGTGAAAACTATTCTGCAAATTCAAGAAAAATGATATTTCTTTGTAGTTGCTTTAAATCACTATTAACCTGGAGATAGCTACACGAGCTTGATGATAACAATCGTATGATGATCATTGTAATTTATAAACACTGAATATCTTAAAAGAGGTTTATATTTCAGGATGAATTGGAACAAAAATAATAGTGTATGTACTGTGCGCATTTTGAATCCACATGCATAATTATTGTAACAACATTGCCAGTTTTGTTAACCTATTTCAAAAAAATCTAATTTGGAAACTCTGATATAGACCTGAAGCCAAATTATAATTTTATAGGTTTTTTTTTTAAAAAAAAAACAGAATAAGATTAACTTACACTTCACTGCTTTCAAAATGCTGTACTATTTTCTTTTTCTTGGTAACTACAGACTGTTCCATAGTGTTGCTTTCTGGCTAGTGTGTTTTTAAACTACACTCCCAAATGTATTGACTGGTGATAATTTCTCACAAAGTTAAATGGAATTTTTTTGGATAACGAGATTGCTGCTTCTTGTTATGTCAAAACCCTATAACGCATTAAAAATAATCAATTGGGAATAAATACCATTCCTGCTTCAAGTAGTATCTGAAACTATTATTGGATTCGGAAAGTTGCTGGAATTGTATTTTGGCCTTCTGTATGAGCTGTGTTATGCTAGTTTAATTAATTAGTATGTAACCCACTTGTGCTCTGGGTCATTTCTGCCTGTGCTGAGAAAAATCAAATACCCTGGACAATTTTTGTTTGACTGAGGAATGTTGGGTAAAAAAGCAGTTCAATTAATTGTGATTGATGTTACATCTATACTCAAGATTAGGTTACCTATAGTCACCTTTTAATTAATGGCTTAATTAAACAGATAAATTGGAAAAATACAATTGTATTCAGAAGGATAATAGAAAGGTTATCTGAAACATTTTTAATAGTGCAGTCTTATTCAAATGTAAGTTGCATGGAATTCAGTGGTACTGTCTTTTAGGAAAGTGACTATAGAACTGTAGCCTAATTTTGCAATCCTAAATCTACTAACTTCTGAACAAAATAGTTCTACATATCTGCTTAATTGAATGTGTCATCCTTTTAAGTGAGGGGTGATATATTAAATATTAAGTGTATGCATTGACATACTTATTAAATAATCTGTATGCAAGATTAAAGTGTTAGTATGCTTTATTTTGTCATCTCATATCTACCTATGTAAATAGATTGTAAGCTCTTTGTGGGCAAGTTTTATTGGGCCTTTTTAAGCCTTGTGGAGATTCTTCTTACTATTAGGCTAGAAAGATTTTTATCACTTTCTTTTTCTTTATACTTATATATTACATTTTGGAATTTGTTACAGAGCCACTACATTATTGTATATAATTAAAACTTTTTTTTTGCTTTAAAATATTCAAGGCACTAATGCACAAATAAAGGTATGATGGTATAACTCTTATTTAATAGCATATGAACGTTTATTTTCAGTGTAAAAAGAGTATTTTAAAATTATAATAATACAATTATATTCTAATCTTTTGCTATTTTATGAATGAACTCATGGATTAATAGTTTATCTTTCATGATATTCCATATTGAGTTTCAATTTAATTTCTGTGATAATTGAAAATAATTTTATATTTTTCATTTCTTGCAATAATTTCATTAAGATCTATATTCAGTACTTTTGAGTTCAGATATACACACATGGACATCTTATTAGGTCATTTTGATTTCCTATTTAGAATTATAAATTTACAGCTATCAACTGAATGGTAGCTATTTTAATTTTATTAAGATGGCAGAAATAGAAAGGGTAGATAAAAATATTTTTCATATGACAACCAACTGCATTTAGCAGGTGGAAGCTGTAAGCATATGGAATGTTGAAAAGCATGTGGAGACATTAGAGCAGTCCTGATGGATCATGAAAATCATTGATGTTGATGTGACCACTGATGAGAAGATTGTGTTTCCAACTTTTAGTGACATCCATTAACAAAAAGAAAATAAAGAATTATGCCGAATAGATGGAGAACTGACCGCTAACATTTTCACATGATACACGGCATTATGGATGTCATCTTTAAGTATAGCGAGTTTACCACCAACATTTCCGCATGATCCATGGCATTGTGGATGTCATCTTTAAATATAGCACATCCACTGGTGGTTGTTTTTTTTTTTTGAGAAAGTGTTTTCCACTCAGAATTTATGGTTTTCCAACCAAACGTATAACACTCCATTAAGTATATCTGTGTACCAGTATATTTGTATGCCTTGAATGTAAGAAAGTGTAATGTATATAAACATAATTGTCCTACATATTTGCTGGTTTGGCTTATTTTGAATTAAAGCTGTTAAAATCAGTAGAATAAATGAACCATATTTCACTATTATTCATGATTTTGCAATGATTAAGCCAAGCAGCTATGCTTGCATTTCAACATTTATGTCATTATGAAATAATTCATTAGTGTGGTGACAATCTTTCTGAACATATATCTGAGTAACTTAAATAGGATGAGAGTAACCCTACTGACTTAGTAGTACTTGAATAGAGGACATGGCAGTGCCTAGCCATCTTCACTGATTTTAAAGCAAATAAACAAGGTTTGAGTGGCTAGCACTTTAATGAAAGAACCAGGCTGTAAAAAAACACACACCTCCTAGCAAATCACTTCCATATTGTTGCCAGGAAAACTACATAGATGATTCTGTGTAGTCACCAGCAGTTAAACTTCTGTTGAAGGAGTCTTTGCATTTAGTACTTGAATGCAGCTTTTTGTGAATTATCTTCCTCTTACAGTTCCTCTTGCTCAACGTAGTTTAAATTCTCACTTGGTTCATCATAAAGGATGTGGCTTTTGTTCTTTAGTAGCCAAATAAAACATGTAGGTATATGTCATAAATACGTTTAAAGCAGGGTTTCACTGTCTGCCTGTTCCTGAACACATTGATTGTATTACATGACTTGTATTAACATGAAATACAATAATAATGTTAACTAGGAAAATCACCCAATTTTTAAATTATCTTTCACAAGGACAGAGTTGAAGTTTATCAGTGGGTAGTTGTTGTGCTAAAGCCAAAATATAAACATTAGGAAAAAGATGTCCTCTATATACATGAGTTAGAGAAGCCAACAATTATAAAGTTTGTTTTGTTGGCAATCATTTGTTAACCCCAACATACAATTTTGATTAAGTTTAAATGTAATAGCATTGGGCAGTGTATTGCTCAATTTTCCCATTTGTTAGCTGTTATAAGTGCTCACAGCTGTCAAACAAGTATTCATGGTTAAGTGAAAATTCAAGCTCTTAAAACTAGAATTTATTTTTTAAATGGTGCAGGGTGTGTGTATGTTTATTTATATGGAGTTCAGCATAATTGACTTTGGTGAAGTGCCAAATGCACACTTGAGTCACTCTCACTAAAATTAATGGAATTTTTAAAAGTTTAATTTTGACTTTCATTATTAAATTTTGGTAGAGTTTTGGAGATAGAGTACTTAATCTGCAGCAGATTATGTCCTTTAACTCAACAGAGGTTGTTTTTTTTTTTTTATCAGTGGAATCAAGAGAGATTATTTTTGGTCATTTTTTCCCCTACAACCATGTGACCTTCTATTTTATAAGAATCCCTCTTAAAAACATAGGGATGATGGGAATACACTACAACTCAGGAGGAATGAATACAAAAAAAGCTTTCCCATATTACATTGACAAAAAAACTCTGTAAGATCAAAGAAACTTGTGAGGGGGGCAGCATAAGTGGATTTCAAATGCAACAGACCACATTTTGCACATATGTAACATTTTATGCATATGTAAAATGCTAGTCCTATTTTATGTATGTGTAAGATGCATAAAATATACATGTATAAATTGCCATTTGCTGATAATTGGTTTCTCAGTATCTCAACAATTTTAAAGTCAGGGCCTGTATGCCCTTGTGCAAAAAATATGATGCAATATGATCTACTTGAAAAATATTGGAATTAATGTTTTTATTTGCAATAGTTTGTCTTCCAAGTGGCTTCTGACTTAAAGGCAATCTGCTGAAATGATGTTAAAAATGGCAAATGTTGACATTGTATGAAAATCTTTCTGTTCAAAGAAAGGAAATAAATGTTAGTAGGAAGATGGAATCCAATAAATGAGGCTAAGTAGTTTTTGTTGGTGGTGGTTTATTTTATGATTACTTGTGTAGTGTTATTTCACTTTGCTTTTTACATCTGAATTCAGTAGTTTGAATTAAAAATTAAATAAAAATGATACAGAAGATAAGTAATTTCTATTGCATATAGAAATACTGCTTTATCTTTCTGGAATTATGAAATCCAGTACTTTAATTCTACTTATAGAAATGTTTGTAGAAATTTATTAATGCAGGGTTGAACAATCAATGGACCCTGGACTTTCTTTTCCCCTCCAATTATCTCTTCATCCAATTGACAATCCAATAAGAAACAGACATTCTATTTTAGAAGAAAAAACCTAAAACAATTGATAAATCTTCCCAATCAAGAAAATATCCCTTTTACAATTTTTTGCCATTTTAAAAAAAACATAATGGACTTCCAGTTAGCCAAAAATATGTCCATTTCTAACTGTTTGCTCCATTAGCTGTTTTGGTAACACTGGTGTAACTAGTGATACATAACTACATAGTGATAGCTGCATGTAGTATTTTGTGATATCTGTGCCAGCTTTATCTTTCATAGTAGGCAGCTTCTCATTTAACCTCATTTAATTAATAAAATGTATGCATAAAGTCAACTTTAAAACAATAGCTGGCCCATAAGCCAAACAATTCAAGAATGCACAGTTGGAGCATTCTGCTATTAACCAGTATTTTCTAGAAATTAGCAATAACTACCCAAGGTCATTTAAGAATCTAAACAAGGGTAAGGAACCTTGACCTGAACCACAGTTATCAAACTTTCTCTGCTTTTTGGTATCTTATATGTTCTGAGTTAAACGTGGAAACAGATACACTGTACTTCGATACCCCAGTTTGCTCTAAAAGTGTAAATAAAAAGTCTCTCTTTCTCTTTCTCTTTCTCTTTCTCTTTCTCTTTCTCTCTCTCTCTCTCTCTCTCTCTCTCTCTCTCTCTCTCTCTCTC